ACAAAGGCCTCTGAGCGGGGGGCCCGGGGCGGCCAAGATGCGTCCTGCGGAGCCGTCGGGCCAGCGCATCGCTGAGCTTTGCCCCTCGGATCCCTTCGGGGCTGCCGCCACTTCCCCTTGGCTGTCCCATGTCTGTAGGTCCCAGGTGCTCAGCCCTGCTTCCCGGGATGCCCACGGCACGGCACCGCGCCGTGCCAAACCCCGTCCCTGGGCTCAGCGCCACGCTGGGGACCTCCTGGCTGGCATCCTCCCGCGTTTCTCCCGTGGTCACCCTGCGTGTGCCCGTAGCTGTGTGCAGTGCACAGGGGTGCATGGGCAGTGGCACCGGGGACCTTGTGAGCGGGGATGTGGGGTGGGGAAGAAGAGGGTGCTCCCCGGCTTTAGGAGGCAGCAGACAATCATGGCGTTTGAGGGTTGAACCCCTCTGCACCCAGTAACTGCTCTCATCCCTCATGGCGCTGGGCACCCGTGTTCCCCGGTGATTCGGTGGCTGGCCCCTGGGGATGGCAGAGTGGCTTTTGAAGAGCAAAAATTTCCCCCCCCCGCTTCTGAATAGCAAAACTTCCCCCCCCCCAAAAAAAACAGGGGTGAGTGATTTCAAGCGCACACAGTGGCTTGAAGCTGGGGTGGGGGATCCTCTCCCAGCCCGGGCGTGCACTTTCAGCTCACCCTCTGTTCTCTGGGCTGCTGCGGGGATTTAATCTGGCTTTCTGCTCATTCCATCCCCAGAGCAAATGGCACATTTTAATCGCAGCAGAAAGTCCCTGTTTTTTCATTCTCGTTTTAATGTCATCTCTGTTCAGGGCTGGGCTCCCCCCCAGGGGCCACTCTACCCCCTCCTGGAGTGCCGGCTTTCAGGTGGACCTTCTCAAATAGCTTTAAGTGCACCGTGGTTTATCCTCTAGTTATTTTTGATATACATGCAATGTACCTATATATACCAAATAATAAAGGCAGGTTGTTTATACAAAAGCAAAGCAAAACACGTTGCTTGCGAATTTGTATAAGGTGGAAAGGATCTGCCATCGGGGTGAAGATGGGAGCGGGAGGGACGGGCAGGTCGGCTACCAGGGTGCCCCTGTGCCCCCCCCCGGCCCCGGGGCTGGGATCTGCTCCCATTTCCCAGCCCGCTGCCTTCGTGGTGTCTGGCTGACTTGGCAGGTGGTAAAGCTCATCCAGCTGTCAGGAGGGCTTTTTTTAGCACAGTCGGCTTTGCACCTCGCCACCGCTCAGAGGGCTCTGCTGAGCTGCTGCCTTGGATGCCGCTGGTTTGGAGAGGCCGGAGCGTCCCCCTGGCTCTGTCAGTCCCCCCACCCCCTCTGGCAGAACGCTCTGCTTCCATCCCCGGGCCTGTGCCTGCCTCTCCACCGAGGATATTTTTATCCTGCTCTCGATGCGCGGCTGTCAGAGAGCACGTCGCTGCCGTCATGGGACCCTGGCAAGCCTTGCAGGTGGCGGCTGTGTCACCCACAGGGCAGGGCAGTCAGAAGGACCAAAGGATGTCTGTCCAGGGAGAGGAGGGATGGAGGCAACCGCGCTCCGCAGAGCCCCTGCGCCGAGCCAGGATGGAGCAGCGAGAGTCACTGCGAAGCTGAAGCCCGGCAGGCAGGGGCTGGCAGAGGCTGGGCGGGAGTGCTTACCCCCCGGGGGCAGCCTGGAGAACACCTGCACCCTGGGTGGGTGCTACCCAGGGTGGGGGAGCAGATTGGGACAGGCGCATCAGGGATCTGTCCCCCTCCTTCTGCCAGCCCCAGCATATTGCAAATATCTCCCCTGAGCCAGCCATTGGCGGCTTATAAATAATGCAGCCCCTCGCCGCGCAATAAGGGCTTGTCAGTAGCTATTCTGCTCTCATAAATTAAAGATGAAAAGATACAAGGCTCTTGCCAGAAAAATGAAGACATATTTTTTAAAGCTTGCCAAGACACAGGGAGATGGAGCGCTCGGGAAAAATGAATTACGTTTTTATTATGTGTTTTATTGTGATGTAATTGAACGGGATTAGCTGAGAATACAATATATTTCCAGGACAGTGCAAAGAAAACAAAAATAATCATGACACCTATCCCCCTCCCCACACCACCAGCCTGTGCAGGGACACCCTCTGTGCACGCACCATCTGGGAGCTGGCCCTGAGCTGCTGGTGGCGGCAAGAGGCAGAGACGGGCATGGGAGGGACACTGGAGGGGACAGGGGACTGGAGGTACAGGGAGTCAGGGTGGCTGGGTCTGGTGGAATGGCAGGGCCTGGGCTCACCCCAAGTGCCCCAGAGCTGTGGAGCTGGGGTGCAGGGCAGGGTGGCATGGCAGCTCTCGGCTGCACAGAGCCTCTGGGTGTCTTTCACCTGTCCCCATGTTTCCAGCTGCTTTCATCCCATCCCTCAGATCCCCTTTGGTCAGTCCCCCACCTGCACAAGCTGGCACTGCTAGGCTGAGACCTGACAAACTCAGCTCTTGATGGGGAGCAGGTCTGGGGTGCTGCCCTGCAAACGAACCATGCTGGCCGTTCTCTGCCGGAGCTGGCAGCGCCGTGGGCAGCCCGCGGACTCGGTGACTGCAGTGGATGCGAGGGAGCAAGGATGCTCGGTCCCTTCCAGAGCTGGCTCATCCCGGAGGTCACAGGCCGGTCCCTGAAAGGCAGCGGCTCGTGTCCCCAGGGGTGCTGGGGGTGCTGGGCGGTGCTGGGCTGGGGACATCGATTGGTCCCCAGCATTTTTAATGAGCTGCCCGACCACAAGCTTTAACCTTGCCCATAATGAGGGTGAGCGGCAGCAATTCCTCCAACCACAGCCGGCTCCCCCAGCCTTAATGAGCTAATCAATACTTGTTCTCAGCTTAATTTCCAGCTAATTGCTCTTTAATGATGCCTGGAAATAGGCAGCCTTTTGCTAGGGGGGGCGGGCAGGCTCCCCCTCCCCAGCACCCGTCCCTGGTGGCAGGGGGTGCTGGGTCACCTTCCCCGGCTGCGTCCCAGTCCCCCGGCACTGCTGGAGGGTGGGGAAAGGGAGGGTGGCAGGGCGGACAGCGGGCACAGGGCGCGGTGCCACCGAGATGGCAGCACACTCCGGAGTACCCACCCCGTCTGGGGGGCTATGCAGCCCCGTGCACCCAGGGCAGGCTGAGCAGGGGGTCCCCAAGCCCCGGGAGGGTCCCCAAGCTCCCCCCAGAAAACTGCGTTGCTGTGGGGGTCCCCAGGGTGGGCTCATGGGGGGAGGGGGGGGCTTGTTTTGGGGGGCAG